CAGAGAGGGCAGGCGGACCCCCTCCCGCGCGTCGCCGCGCCCTGCTGTCCAGATGAGGCCCGCTGTGTGCACAACTCTGATACCTACACCTCTCTCTCTCTCTCTCTCAACTTCATGGAGCTGCCTCGCATCGTCCAGCTTGGCGACGATGTGCCTGTGCAAAACGGGCTTAAGATGAGGATGGCTGCATACTACATCCATACTGTTCAATACTATACAGTACACTATACTATACTATACTAGACTATACTATACTACACTGTACTCTACTATACTATACATACCCACGCCGCCTGAGTGTATGCATCCGCGAGGTCTGACCGTCGAGCAGAGCGGCCTGGGCCGGACTGAAGACCTTGAGACGCCTTGGCTTCCGAGGACTTCCAGCTGCCCCGAATTACGAAAATAGGGTGCCCGCCCTTCGTTCTTAGAATAAGGTTCTTTAGACGGCTATATGAGGTTTGCGGGGCTTTGTAAGGTTGTCTGCACGCGTCCAGTCAGTAGCAGGTCTCCTGTCTTGCCAAGTCACGATGAGCCAAATCGGGATGACAGCCCCTGCAGATGCGGCAGTCTAGGGAATATAGTCTGAAAACCTCCGCGGTCATAAATATCTTGCTTGGGCTCTACAAGCTATGACTCCTACGTGTAATGACAAATCGAATGGTGCCTTGCCATGCGCAAGCTTGAACGCAGTCCTGGTGGCTGAAGGAGACCAAATCCCATCCTGTGGATTGCACGGCCTGCTGTATCACCTCACAGAGTCTTGTTTCTGTTCACCACGAGAACAGTCTAGGTGCTTGTGCTGCCGGCACAATGTCCGATCAGGTGACATCCCGGCTTTAAGGCAGGAGGCTGCGGGAGTTGTCCTTGTCCAGAGGCTCGGTTCCCCTGGTGCCAGCACTTCCAGAACTTCACCTGCAGAGCGTTGAATCTGGAAACGAGCGCAGTGAACACTGATCTGGGCTTGGTACGACAGGGATGCTCCCCAGGCTACTATAAGGTTACTAAATGGCTACTCTAAGCTTACGGAAAGGGACTCTAAGGTATAGACTTCTGTCCCATGATTCCACACACCCCAAAGTGCACAAACGAGGAGCTGCAGGGTCTGTCGCCCGGCGGAGACCTGGAGCCTCGGCACCGGGAAGAAAGCGGCTCAACCAAACTCAAAGGTCTGTGTCTATGTACTTATAGCTGCAGCTACAGTATTTATAGGTATATTATGTGTATAGAGTGTTTTTTTTTGTGCGTGTGTGTGTGTGTGTCTATGTATATGCCTGTGTATGTGCGTGCGTGTATACATATATACACATGCACATACAGATTGGAACCTGGTGCGGTCAGGCAGCTGCTCGAACATACTGCGCCATCTGTGCAAACGTCCGCCGAGCGCAGCACGGGCAAGAGACATGCCACCACCAGGGATGCCCCCATTGTGAACTTCACCGGGGCTCTATGTTGGCTCGTAAATTATCCATGTACCTCGAACCTTCCTTGAAGTGCCTCTTCGTTGTCTGAGCCAAAGCCGCCGGCAACGCAGTCGTGCACCAACGCCAAATGGCCAAAGCGCTGGAATGCTGGGCTGGGCTGTCGGCCCAGGTCCTTCGCTGCACCTCGGACCTCAGAGAATTCGAGCATCCCCGAGGCCCCGAGACCCCTCGGCTGAGGCATCCGGCTCACGCAGTGGGCAGCCTTGCAGGAAAGGGCAGAGAGAGAAAGCGCTTCGCTGTGCCGTCAAGGGCCGCCTGCCCGCCAGGATCTCAAGAACCGCAGCGAAGCCAGAACTGGGCACCTAGGTCAGAGGCACTGGAGCCTTGAGCTCTGCCAGCACGTGCCGCTGAGCCATGGGCCACAGATCGACTTTGCCCGAGGTGACGAGGGGGGTGTAAGATTTTGGCACAGCTTGTTTCTCAGTCTGAGCATGCGGGTGCCAGGCTCGGTGAGCGATGAAGTGCCCCTGGTTTGCCGTGCCCAAGTGCGAGACCACGGAGGCTAAAGCATAACTGTGAAGAGCCTTGTCCAGTAGCATGGCAGCTGGACACCGCACAGGGTTTGGCAATCGCACCAGGCCCCACGGACCATGTATCAGTCGCCGCAGATGCAGCGTCAGAATCGCAGGTGCCTTGTGTATCCTGAAAGACCGAAAATGCGTAGTGCGGCGTAGCACGGGTTCTGGAGAACCCGCAGGGCAAAGCAGGCTAAGATGCTCTGCTTCCTGGATGGCATCTCCAAAGGCCCCCAAACGCCTGCACGCCTGCTGTGCTAGCAAAGAGCCCCGAAGACTCTCCTGCCAACATCTCTGACGGCTAGCACGTGCTGAGCAGCGGCTACACACCAAGCCTTCGATCTCCTCCACACCCTTCCCTCCATAGGACTGGTGCAATAAAGACGCCAAGTCAATGGAGAATGAAAGTTGGCCACCTTGCAGCATGTCCAGGGACAGGCAACGAAAGGCCTGTCTGGAGGAGCAGACGTCCACTTTCACGAGCCCGCACGCGCTGCAGACTCGCCTCTCCTCCAAGGTCCCCTGCCAAAGCTCCTGACACGTCGGCAAAGACACTTCGGATGGGCGCCTGTCAACTACCCCAAGCTGTGCAAAAGCGTTTCTGATTTACCGCCAAGGATCCTGAAACCAGCGGCAGGCGGCAGTGGCACGAGCCCACGAAGCGGTCCGAACCAGCCAAGGATGCAGCGGATCCCAGGCGGGTCTCTGCAGAAGAAGGATGGCATTCAGCTGCCGCTTCTGAAGTCCGGCATGCATTGCCTCGAGGATTTGGATGAAGGCCTCGTGGGCATCCTGCTGCTCACCACAGGCAGAGCTCAGGCCACACTCCTCCGCAATGGCCTTTGCCAGGTTGCAGACCACGCTGTTAGCGCAGTCCGGCTCAAGAGCTATCTCGTTATTGATGTACAGAAGCACCGAGGCCAAGCAAGCCGGTAAGTCTTCGGCCGCTTCGCAGGAACCAGTCCCCTCTTCGTGACTTCCATCCAAAACGGATCGCAAGATTGCCCACCACCTGGGATCGTTGATACTTGCAAGCGCTTGCAAGACTGCGTTGAACCAGCACCACTGCCCGGGATTCGCAAGAGCCCTGGGCAGCGGAGAGGGACTGGAGCCCGCCATTCCACATAGAGGGCATCTTCACGAAATGTGTCATTCACGTGATGTAGTAGGATACGAAACACCTCTCAAGTAAGACTGCAGTTTACATCATGATTGCATTGTAACAGGTGCACACAAAAAGCTTCCCAACCGTGCTGGAGATGTGCAGCTACATATACATGAAGGCGTGTCCATTTATCTATCCATCTTTCTGTTCATGTACATCTCTCTGTTTAACTAGATATGGTACATGTGTATGTGTTATATATAATGCACACATATGTGATCATTCATGCACATGTGTGGAATTATAAATATAAATATGTAAGTATATATTACATTGCATTACATTATAGTATATTATATTATGTTATATTATAGTATATGAAACTACATTATAGTATAGTAGATTAGATTAGATTATATTAGATTATATTATACTATACTATATTATATTGCATTATATTATATTGTGTATATACATACCTGTAGACACAAGCCTTTATGTTTATGTATGTACATAAGCATACACCAGCGGATACAAATATTGTAAAAATGTGCGTGTATATATATATATACATGCAGATATGTATACATGTATGTGTATATATATATATACGTATATATATATACATATACATACACATATATACGTACATATATACGTACATACATACATACATACATACATACATACATACATGGCACATCGCATGTCCCTGAAACGCGCAAGCAACTTGCAAGAAGC